GGAGTTGTGGTCGGTTGAATTGTTGTTGTTTTCGGAGCTGTAGTCGGCTGAACTGTTGTTGTTGTTTCTATCTCTCGTGTTGTTATCTTCAGATTTGTAGTTGGTAAAATTGTAGTCGTCTTTGGAGCTGTGGTTGGTTCAATTGTTGTTGTAATTTTCGGAGTTGTGGTCGGTTGAATTGTTGTTGTTTTCGGAGCTGTAGTCGGCTGAACTGTTGTTGTTGTTTCTATCTCTCGTGTTGTTATCTTCAGATTTGTAGTTGGTAAAATTGTAGTCGTCTTTGGAGCTGTGGTTGGTTCAATTGTTGTTGTAATTTTCGGAGTTGTGGTCGGTTGAATTGTTGTTGTTTTCGGAGCTGTAGTCGGCTGAACTGTTGTTGTTGTTTCTATCTCTCGTGTTGTTATCTTCAGATTTGTAGTTGGTAAAATTGTAGTCGTCTTTGGAGCTGTGGTTGGTTCAATTGTTGTTGTAATTTTCGGAGTTGTGGTCGGTTGAATTGTTGTTGTTTTCGGAGCTGTAGTCGGCTGAACTGTTGTTGTTGTTTCTATCTCTCGTGTTGTTATCTTCAGATTTGTAGTTGGTAAAATTGTAGTCGTCTTTGGAGCTGTGGTTGGTTCAATTGTTGTTGTAATTTTCGGAGTTGTGGTCGGTTGAATTGTTGTTGTTGGTTTTGGAGTTGTGGTCGGCTGAACCGTTGTTGTTGTTTCTATCTCTGGTGTTGTTGTCTTCAAATTTGTAGTTGGTAAAATTGTAGTCGTCTTTGGAGCTGTGGTTGGTTCAATTGTTGTTGTAATTTTCGGAGTTGTGGTCGGTTGAATTGTTGTTGTTTTCGGAGCTGTAGTCGGCTGAACTGTTGTTGTTGTTTCTATCTCTCGTGTTGTTATCTTCAGATTTGTAGTTGGTAAAATTGTAGTCGTCTTTGGAGCTGTGGTTGGTTCAATTGTTGTTGTAATTTTCGGAGTTGTGGTCGGTTGAATTGTTGTTGTTTTCGGAGCTGTAGTCGGCTGAACTGTTGTTGTTGTTTCTATCTCTCGTGTTGTTATCTTCAGATTTGTAGTTGGTAAAATTGTAGTCGTTTTGGGAGTTGTGGTCGGTTCAATTGTTGTTGTCGTTTGCGGAATGGTAGTCGGCTGAACTGTTGTTGTTGTTTCTATTTCCGGTGTTGTTGTCTTCAGATTTGTAGTTGGTGAAATTGTAGCCGTCTTTGGAGTTGTGGTCGGTTCAATCGTTGTTGTTATTTTCGGAGTTGTGGTCGGCTGAACTGTTGTCGTTTCAACCTTGGGTGTTGTTGTCTTGAGAGCTGTAGTTGGTAAAATTGTAGTCGTTTTTAGAGTTGTGGTCTGTTCAATTGTTGTTGTTGTTTTTAAAGTTGTGGTCGGCTGAACCGTTGTTGTTTCCACCTTTGGTGTTGTTGTTTTCAGAGTTGTAGTTGGTAAAATTGTACTCGTTTTTGGAGTTGTGAACGGTTTAACTGTTGTTGTTTTCGGAGTTGTGGTCGGCTGAACTGTTGTTGTCGTTTCAACCTTGGGTGTTGTTGTCTCCAGAGTTGTAGTTGGTAAAATTGTAGTCGTCTTTGGAGCTGTGGTTGGTTCAATTGTTGTTGTAATTTTCGGAGTTGTGGTCGGTTGAATTGTTGTTGTTTTCGGAGCTGTAGTCGGCTGAACTGTTGTTGTTGTTTCTATCTCTCGTGTTGTTATCTTCAGATTTGTAGTTGGTAAAATTGTAGTCGTTTTTGGAGTTGTGGTCGGTTGAATTGTTGTTGTTGGTTTTGGAGTTGTGGTCGGCTGAACCGTTGTTGTTGTTTCTATCTCTGGTGTTGTTGTCTTCAAATTTGTAGTTGGTAAAATTGTAGTCGTCTTTGGAGTTGTGGTCGGTTCAATTGTTGTTGTTGTTTCCGGAGTTGTTATCAGCTTAACTGTTGTCATCGTTTCTACCTTTTGTGTTGTCGTTTTTGGAGTTGTAGTCGGCTGAACCATTGTTGTCGTTATTAAAATTGTAGTTGGTAAAATTGTAGTCGTTTTTGTAGTTGTCGTCGGTTCAATTGTTGTTGTTTTCGGAGTTGCAGTTGTTTCAACTGTTGTTGTTTTCGTCGTTTTCAGAGCTGTAGTTGGAAAATATGTTGTCGTATCTTTCTTTAGTGTAATTGGTTTCGGAGTAGTAGTGGGCACATTCGTTATTGTCGTCATTTCTTTCTCAAATGTCGTTCTTTTTAGAGTTGTCGGCAATAATGTCTTCAATTTTTTAGGGTACATAGTCTGTAATGGCGGAACAGGAGGAAGAGGAGGCGCAGGTGGGAGTGGGGGAAGAGGTGCTAACGAAGGGAGTGGTGGAGCAGGTGGAAGAGGCGGAAGTGGCGGTAGTGGCGGAAGTGGCGGAAGTGGCGGTAGTGGCGGAAGTGGCGGTGGAGGCGGAAGCGGCGCAGGAGGTGCTGGTGTCGCAGGTTTTTTCTTTTTTGGAGGTTTAGGTTTTGGTGGCGGTGGCGGTTTAGATTTGGGTGGTGGCGGTTTAGATTTGGGTGGTGGAGGTTTTTTAGGTTTCGACTTTGGTTGGTCATAATACACGTAGTCATATTCATGGTAATTAGGTGGAAATAACCAATTTTTTATCAAACCTCCTAGGAGGAGGCATCGCCTCTGAACTTCATTCTTAATCAATGTTATATTTTTCTGCAATTGTTTTTCTCTGTTATATTCTTCGGTTGATGATTTCTCTCTACTGGACCGGATAATCAACTTATTTAATCTGCTAGTTTGCACACTGAACGATGTAGTAAATTGATTCCGTGAATTTCTCGTAGTGGAGATTCTAATTTCTTCTTTGGGAAACTTGAAGTACTTTGAATCTGGTCTATATAACTTTTTCTTCGTATATTTTTTTTGCAAGTCTTGTTTTTTTTTCACTCTTACATTGAACAACGATGATCGGAAGTCATTGTAAGTTATGATTTGATTGTTCTCATCTCTATTTGGCAAAGATTCAGTTTTTATTCCATTGAATACACCATTTTCATTGAAGATTATGAACACCAATAAAAGTTTTGCAATTACAGAATTCCTCATACTTCCTTGTAGAAGTCAATGATTTTACATAACTAATTACAAAAATTTATCAAAACTAATTTTCATTGTCCCATACACAATGAAAATTATAACGTATACTTTACCTTTGAGATCTCGTTTTATATATCTAATAAATTAAATGTTTCAATATCACACAAGAACACATAGGAGTATAAATATATATGCGTGTACGTATATACGAATATTGGCATATCAATCCTTACATTCAGTCGTACAAATCCATTTAATACGGCCTATTAGAATTATTTTTTATATAATTATATATTTTAAAAAGACAAAACGTTAACATTTTTATCAAATCTAATTTTATTAAGCAAATACTTTTTTCAAGCGAATACGTGACTACTCAACTTTGATACTAAATTAATGAAAAAAAATGCTGTAAGATTAAAGTCTCGACACGCTACTCCGTATAACTTTTATTATTATATAAAACTTTATAATGTGATTGCTTATTATAAAATTTAAATTGAATCAATACGTATAGAATCGATTATATACTGTGGTTTTTCATAAAGACCATAGTAAGCAAGCAAACTAATTCCTATTCATGAATGTTCGGGATGTAAAGTTTAGGTATGCTCAGACCTTATTTGATCTAATGTGTGGAAACATGTAAAAGATTAATATAATTTATAGCTTTGATTAAGAGAAACAATAGAATTGATTTAATGAATGTCACAGACAAAATATTCTGAATTGCAATATTTATTTTTTAGATCACTGGATATAATAATATAACTAATAATGTATGCAGCTAAACTCTTTAAAAATATCAACAATCAGTTTTATGAAATAATTCATCCGTATTGTACATACAGAACACTCTATTAATTAATACAGTTATTAATAATTATAATTAAGTACTATTAAAAAGCATCTTTTATATTCTGAAATTGTTGTACGGCTAAGTCAACTGGAAGATCAAAACGAACGGATGATAACCGATCAAGAGTGTGAAAGGCATCTTGAAATCCTATGAAAAAAAATTTACAATTATTGTATTTTTTTTTCTAAGTTTCAAAATTCGAATTTTTAATTAAAAAAATATCGTTTACATACCAGTTTTCACAACATAACTCCATGATGTATAATAATTTTCCAATAAATATTGACACTGTAGTATGTACCTTAACCATATAACCAATTTGTTGGTGCTAAAAATTAAATTAAGTTTTATGATTAAAATTGTCTTATAATAAAAGATAATTAGGGTAAAAGACCCCATTAGTGGCGGGGATCCCATTACTGACACTTTCTTTGATTTTGGTACTTATTCAATTAATGAAATCATTAATTTCTATTATGAATATATTATTTCTAATCTTTAAGACCTTTAGATAAAAAAAAATGTTTAATTTTTATTCCAAGTAAAACATTTCTTCATTGAAAGAAAAAGTGCCACTAATGGGGCTTAGAGGTCCCATTAATGGGGTCTTTTACCTTACAATAGAATTATTTCGCAGTGTATGATTCGAAATTTTTTAATTCTAGAGAAATTTTGAACACCTCTTAGGAAAATGATAAATTCTTTACAATTCGAAAGATTAATAATGTCGTGCAAGTCAAGAGAATCTACTCAGCGTGAAGCCTCGAATTTATTTCGAATTTATTTATCGAAGCTGTTAAATTTATTTATCGAACTTACTTTAAGGCTGCACAAATAAATGCTTTAAAATGCGAGTTATGACTTCTTTTGTAAGGTGTATGCGTAGCAATTATATTTCCAATAGTAATTAATAGAATCTGAAAAATGAGTAATCAAGATAATAAGATGAATTACGATTTGTTATACTGTTAAAATAAATATAATAATGAATACCTGTTTTGGAGAAATACTCCTTCTATTGACAAGATCTAAGTTAAAGCTTTGAGACAATTTTTGAGCTGGACTAGAGTTGTAAATATGACCATTTTTTATTTCATAATACTTTATTATTAATTCCCATGCATGCATGAAATTATGAGATACTGATTTTTTCTGTGGGAAACAGCCAACGAAAGGTACAACACTGTTACTAGCACGAACATCAGAGGTCAATCCATGTTGAATCAAATCTCTTATACAAATGGCTAAATGTTTTCTCACTGATGCTGTAATTCGCGCATTGAACTGTGCTTTAGATAAATCTAAATCAGAAGTGTGACTATTGTAATCTTCGTCTTCAAAATGACGTTCCATTGCTGCAACATTTTGTAATACATCTTCTATGGCTGTATCCAATCGAGCTCTCATATCTCGCCATACGGGAATATCGGAGTTTTTATCAATATTACGTCGAACTCTGTCTCTGCCACAACCCAATTGTGACATTAGGTAAAGATGTAATAGTGTTATAACTTTTCTCACAGTATTAAGTGTTTTTGTATGATTGCCATCATTTGTATGTTCTTGAGGGAATGGTTTTCTAGATTTTTTAGCAGATAATTTTGCGCTATTTGTATGAACTGGACATGTACAAGTGCAAGCGTATGCTTCTGTGCTAACTTCTCCCTGTAGATAATGAATGAACCGTTCTAAATCTGACACTTGAGTTTTCAATTGATTTACTAACTGTTCCTTCATTTTCAACGGATTGACGATCTAATAATTATAATTTTTTATAGATTTAAAATAACTGTATAATTTAAACATTTTATCTTTTCAATAAATTAATACATTACCTCATTTATTGCATGATCAACTTGCCATCTCAAATCATCGACAGATAACTTACATAAATCATCAACTTCAAAATTAAGTTTTTCTTTAAGATGATCTAAAAAATAATCAAATATTATATAATTATAAGTATTTTTATTTATCGGTTATGTAATTAAAAAACTAATAATTCATGTTTTGACAGAAGTACAGCTTCATCAATCTAATTCATTTTTTTAATCTAAAATAGAAAAAATTATAGATGATGTGAAAAAATTTTCTACAAGCCAAAATCAGCGATATTGTACTTCTGCTCACTTCATTTTAGTCAAGTTAAAAATAAAAAATATTCTGGCTATTAACTTATCAACAAATTTTGCCGTTCTAATATAACGCTTTGCGGTAGATCTTGACCATCCGTTTCATAAGCATATCGCTCTAAATCTTCTAATTGGGTTTTTAATTGTTCTATCAACTCTTTTTGTTTAAGTTTTCGCTGTGCAATTTTAGATTCCAATTCAATGTCAGTACACTCATCATTACTTATATGTAATGAACTATCTGTTGATGGTACAAGAGCTGTGTTAGCTTCAGATTTACATAGTAAAATGCTTGAAACATCTGGGATTCCTCGAAATGCAAATTCTTCTAATTCTTTTAGTAAATTCTCTTTTTGATCACTGGGAGCATCAACTATTTGGCGAAGACGAAATTGAACCTATATTTATACAAAAATTATTAATTTTATTGGATTCAAAAATTTTTTAATACTATTTGATCAGATTTGGTCTAATTTAGTCAGAGCAGATATGAACATTTTACCGGAGAGAATATATTACTTTATACTTAAACTTTGTTCTAAATTTATTTAATATGATCAAATTATAGAGATGGTATCAAACAATAACGTTTTGAAAAATTTTTTCCTTCAAAATTTTTTCGATAACATATTCGGGCTCAGAAATGTTTGGATAATAAAAATACACTTTCAAAAAAATTTTTTCAAAAATCTTTCTTGAGACGTTATTGTTTATCGCCATTTATAGATAATTAATTTTTCAATAAAATAGATTAAATTTTATTACTTGAAATTAAAATTAATAAACTATGCATAGAAAATTATTCATATCAAGTATTAGGAGATTCTTTAGACCCACAATTTCGGAAGATTGTATACTTTCCATGCATTTTATTACAATCATTCTTTGAAAGTATATACTAGTACAATATTTAAAAGACAAATTAGTAATAAAATAAATCTACCTGAGCAAAATGTGTAGTTAATGAAATTAGTGATGAATTGAGCACATCTTGTTCCTCTTCTAATATTTTAAGTCTGTCCATAGTAAATGAAAGAATATTTAATACGATGTTAGTAATTGTTATCATTTCAACATAAACAGAATTTTATAGCATTAAACAAAGTAAAGTATTAAACATTAAGCCCAAATATTTATACATAATATTATATCATATGATATACAATAACTATTAGAAATAAATAGAAAATCATTGTATCATGCATTAAATTACATGTTATAAGTAATTAGAATTGTAAAAAAAAACATTAATTTACTTTTCCAAATTATCGGTATATTTGCATTCGCTGTTGAATTCATCATCAACATCATCATTAGCCCCAACTGGTGCCCATCTTTCACCAGAGGGTCGTTCATTTTCGTCAGTATCATACTCCTCATTTTCATTGGTACAATGTTGTCCTTCGGGAAAAAGTTCAAGGTTTACTTGATCCTGAAATCAAAATAAAAATTTTAATATTTACGAATTAACCATTAAAATCATTTCATTTTAATCAATAAAATACCATTTTATTAGATAAATCGAAGGAAATTTCATTCTACACAGTAATCAGAAACATAAGTAACGAACACTAACAATCACGGTTAACAACAAAAATTATATCGGCTGTGGCCATTTAATATTTCTTGTTAAAACATTTATTATTTTACACAGTTCCAAACCAAACTTTAGAGCATATTCAATGATGGATTATAAATATACTTATGTTATATATTAAAGTTGTCAGTTATGACACCCTTTTTTTTCTTTGTGGGAAACAAGAATACTTTACCATACTTTATCTGTCAATAAGACACACATATTATGGCTTATGGAGAATAGAAACCTTTATTATTCTCTATTAACCTTATATAATTGTTTTTTCCAGTTGCGCTTATCAACAATCCGCTAGGTGCAGCAGGGTAGGTTTAGATACGAATCAGTACTGTCAAAAAATCAAAACAAATCCATAACCGGTACATAAACAAAGCTGTAATTAAATTAATTAGCTTCAAAATTATTAAAATAAACATTTAGTTAAAATAAATTTGAATTTTTCTGGAATACTGAATTAATTTCATTGTTTTTTTGGATTTTAATACAGATTTGTCATGTCATAATCATAATTACTTTTTCAAGGTTATGGATTCCATTTGTTATGGTTATTTAGTTACCCAATGGTTGATCGCGATGCCTCTACAGTTCATAAGAAGAACTATTAATAACTCATGCGATTGTCGCGCTGCTCTGGTAATTGATTGCAACAATATTTTGAAAATTTTAAACAGTAGTGCTGCCTCTACTGTTGTATTTTATTTATTATTTTCGATAATCTTGATATTCTATGATCAATGATACAAACACAAATACATTTACAATGTAGCATTGAAATTAAAACACATGGATGGATGTAAAAAGTATAGTAGGTTACGTCAAGTTCTAATGTCGACAGCTTTCATAAATAAACACAAAAAAATTAATAATTAAACTTATTCTCTTGATCTTATTTATTAAAGAAAATTAGCTGAGTGCAATGTATTACATATTCAATTAATATTGAAAATGATATTTTTATAAAACATTTGAAGTTCAAGAAAACATAAGTTGTCATATGTAATTGACAGTTTTGATAACAACAAATCTATAGTTTAAGTAATGAATTGCAGAACTGTCAATATTTTGTGATAAATGTAAAGGCCGTAAGTTATATATTTATAAATATGTGTACAAATACTCGTAAATAGAGATATTGGTAGAGTACACAACAAAATGTAATTAATAAATGGGTCATTTATTTATAAATTATACAATTCGTCCAGGAAACTTGAATACTACATTCAACCTATTTTACAAATTATTATTTACTATTTATTTAATACAAGTAGATAATGCGTTTAGAAAGGTGCATATTTTATTATTTGTTCTAGTAATATTTCATATATAGATTTCATATATACAAATTTATTTATTTATTTAACTATATGCCAAGGTAAAAGCCGAATAGCAAAAAAATACATGGCAATTTTATAATCACATAAGTACTATGACATTTATATAACAAGTAATTTAATAATTAAAAATAAAAATTAAAATCAATAAATAAATTTCATTACATTGTCGAGAATTTAGATGGTATTTTTAAAGAAGATTTACTGCAACCTTTCTTAAAAGTTTTAAAATATATATCTTCAAAATATTATATTTTTGCTAAGCTTTCAGAAAAAAAAATGTGATATTTTAAGAAATTTTGTCATGAAACTTAACTGCAAAAATATCTATTTTCAAGTTTATTAGATTAAACTAATAAATGACCCTCCATTACTATTTCTACTTGACCAATATTGATATTTTAATTTTACTTTAAAAAATCAATAAATGAAATTTTTATTTCAATCTGTTGACAAAGCTTACAAATTCTAAGATAAATATAAAAATTGGCAATAGTTTTTTATTTATTTAAAATTTTACAATTTCATTTTTCATAGCTGTAAAAATGATAAATGAAAGTAATTATCTACATATATTTATAAACCTATTAATGGTTAAGAAAAATTAATAAAATTTTAGTTAGAGTATTATGGATAAAGTTTAAATTTCAAATGGATAGCGCCCCGGAGCGATAGTGCGGTTAATCTGAATACAGCACATGATAAAATGGATAAACATTATCATAAAGTAGACATTAAATTACTTATTAAGTGCATCAACTTTATTTATTTTAATAAGCTTGCAAGTCTTATTTGCTGCTCGATATAATCGATTAATTTTGTTGTGCAATAAACTCTAGTAGTATGTCTTCTTAGAAAAATTTTTAATTTAAAAAAATTTTTTTTTTATTTGAAAAAAGTTTCAATAAGCTTAGCTAGCTCTATTATTATTAAAATTATCTTTATAAATATTTTAAATAACAAACATTATTATAATTTCATAGTATATAATTTTTATTATAAATATCTAATTACAGCAGATTGCAATCATTTTTTCAGATAAATAAAATGATATTTAGTGTATAAATGTGTATATATATACATATGTATACACGCATTTAAGTATGAATACAATGCTGTATTTATTAATTATTATTACTATTATTAGCCACTATCATAAATCATAAATTAAAATCAAACAAAATACTGATAAAGATGTTTCAATTTATCAACAAGTTATGAAGCGCTCTGGTTATAAAAATTTTCAATTGGCATGCAACATTTCAATGGTGGGAATAAAGTCTTATCAAAAAGATTACGACAAATTAAATTATATTAACTATGAATAATCAAGATAGAAATGAAAGTCGAGTTCCGCTTGTATCCTTACCGGATTCATATTTAGCATGGGTTGATGGAGTACAAAAAATACCTGATATTGCTGATATAAATTTGTCAGGTAAATCTTATTCAAATTATTATTATGAACCTATTTTATTGTTAGATAATTGTCCGAATTCAGTTGACCTCACTCATTCGGAGAGACTCAAGATCGATGACATACGGAATAATGTTACTAAGGAAGATTTTACATATGGTGATTTCAAACAACTTGGGTCCAGTAGTCTAGGATTCGTTACTGGTATTATTAATAATTAATTATAAATTAAAATAGCAATAATCTATTTTTTATTAATTTTTAAATTGACTTTTAGATGATATACGAAGAAAATTATGGCCAAAAATACTAAGATTAACTGATGATGAATTAAACGATGTGGGTGAAGAACTGGATGATATACATACTCATATACCTGATGAAGTGTATCAACAAATATTAAAAGATGTAGCTCGTAGTGGCAGTCACCTACCAACTAATGCAACTGACACTGAGATGGATAATTTTCATAATGAGCTCACAAGGATAATTTGCTGGGTTCTTCATAGACATCCAAATATGAAGTATGGCTATAAATATAAATTTTGGTAATTATTTACAAGTGGAGTCCACCCATGCTGGGTCTTATTAATCTTTTTTTTTTTTGATCAAATTGATCAATTTTTTTTTAATTGTTCGTTTTTTGTGTATTTTTCAAAAAAATATATCAAAAAAAGATGTAATAGAAATTTTATCCAAAAACATGAGCCAATTTTTTTTTCAAACTTTTAAAGGCAAAAAAGCTATCTAAATCTTAATTTTTTCCTTTCACGACATTTGTTATCATAATTCCGTCGTAAAAACAAGCATAATGAAAAAAAAATTTTAAAATGTTAATTTTTCACCTAGATATGGCCAAAAATAGGGTGGAACCGACTTGTAAATAATTACCTAAATTTTCGGTAATTGTTTGGAAATGAAGACATTTAAGATAAAAATTATGAAAATAGTCAAAAATAATTTTTTCGGTTCTGAAATTTTTAATGTTGAAAAAAAGAAATGATTGATCATTTTAAATAAAATTTGGGTAAATAAGCTTGGCAATTCAGATTTTTTTTGTATTTTACGTCAGAGAAAACAATAATTTGGAAAACGAAACATTTTTTATTCAACTATTCCGAGTTCTTGATTCTTACATTTTTTTCAAGTAAAAATTGGTCTATTCATTAACAATTTTTTTTGTTCAAATTATTATATTTTTGAATTTTAAAACAAAAAAGAAATAATCGAATGTTTAACAAAATTTAAATCTTTTTAATTTTATTTCCAGAAATATGATGGTCCTCATTTCCAAACAAATATCAAACTTTCTATGCAACTGCAATATAATAAATACATAATTATTGACTTATTAATTTTTTTTTAATTTAGTTATTATCAAGGCTACAACGATGTAGCAGCGACAGTATTAATTGTAATGGGCTTAAAACCAGGTTTGCATGTTCTTGAAAAGATATCAACAGAATTCTTGGAAAGATTTATGGAGCAAACAATGGAAAAAGTTAATCAAGAATTATTTTTTATATTTGCTCTACTGGAAAGAGTCCATCCATCTTTGTTAGAACATCTTGAAAAGTAAAGTATTTTTATAAATATACGTTTATAAAATAGAAATACAAAATAATACTCATAATTATGATTTAACAGCGTAGAATTATTTCCACATTTTGCTTTGGCAGAGTACACAACGTGGTATGCTCACAAATATTCTGAAAATCGAAGTTTATTGCATCGGTTATTCGATTTTTTTCTTAGCTCTCCGCTGTTAATGCCTTTGTATCTTAGTACAATAATCGTTGCTCATAGAGCTAATGAAATCTTTAATACTACACCTGATATGGGGCATACACACAAAGTGTTGTGTACAGTAAGTATTTTTAATTTTATTACGATTATTTTTTTTTTATAAATTACTCACAAAGTAATATTTACTTCAGCTACCCAGTACTTTGCCGTTTGAAGATTTATTAACAAATGCGAAAACTTTATACCATGACTATCCACCTGAATCAATAGTTAAGGATGTACATGATTATGATAGAAAACGGCGATGTAAAGAGCAAGAATGGAAATTAAAAGCCGAAGCCAGTAGAAAATACTCCGAAAAACAACGGCAACTTAAAGTATCATTACCAAAATCAAGACTGCCATATCATTTCAAAAGTTATCGGACTATTACTGTCGTTACCATTTTAGCAATTGGACTGTATGCATTCTTAAAAACAGGTTCCGGAATCAACTGACATTAGTTAATTATTGTTTTATTTGTTGATTTAAGTTTTACACATTTGTTTTAAAAAATTTAATATTTCTATACTTGTTTTGAAAATTATAAATGCTTATATAAAATGAAGATTCTTTTGAACAACCAACTAAAATATTTAGTGAAATTCAGCATTTCCTCTCGGAATATTTGACCATTCCTGTTTTGCTTTTACGTTGGATTCACTTATCAATGAATAATTAATTACCTGATATTAAATTTAGTATGCGACTTACACATGTTGTGAATACGTGAATTGGACAAAAACTGTTCATAAGATTGTTGAATTTTAAAAATATACTAATATACAAATATTTAAAATTTGTCATATTAAATGAAAGATTGAATGATCGAATACATAATTAATTGATATACTTTGATAATTTTTTTTTATTTACATACAAAATTTATAATAATATATTCATAATAGACAAGAACATTTTTTTTTTAGTAACATTTTTATGCAACGTAGTATTTAAAAACACTGTTTGAAGAATATAATCTGTAAATATTGGAATAATACAACTTTTCATATATGTTATTTGTAAATATTATCCTTTAAGTATCTTTTCACTGTATTTCATTATAACGGTTTTCAAAGTAGGATTGTTCTTCTAACATCTTTATTGTAATTATTTTTTTTTTTTATATGATAACTTACTTTAAAAAATTGAAGAGTTAAATTCATTTAAAATACTCTGATAAAACAAAGATACTGGAAATGTATGGTCGTTATCATTTCAATACTATAATAATTTTGAGGAAGAAACTATACGAACTTGCACATGATTGCTTACACAAATTCATCTCATAGCGATATCAATTATATTCAACATCATAAGTACATTGTTTATGTTGATAACTAATTGGAAAGAAAAAAAATTTTCGAGCTTACAAATATATGAGAACTTTTATACGAATTTCGATTTATAATCACTAGATTTCAGAACCATTTTATTTCAAATAGTCACAAACAGTAAATGATACAAAAAATAGAGTTAAGATAACTCTACGTGCAAATAAAATTTACTACGTGCTGATACCAAATATTATTTTTTAAAAACTTTAAATCTTAAGAAAATTTATTTCTAAATTCGCTTTTGTATAACAAAGAAAGAACTGTATATGAATGTATATTATTAAAATGTTCAAGAGATAAGATACATTCTAGCATTTTCTAAATATTTATAATTTATAAATATATCTATCCATATATATTTATTAAAAATATATGGCTATTCCTAAACCTATTTTTGACAAAAAAATCATAAATTAATTATTAAAGTTATAAAAGAGTATTTAAAAAAGCATTAATGATGTTACTTATTAAATATTTTTGGTTTTAAATAATACAATACAGTATCTTACGTTGATCAACGTCAGCTTTGTTTCAACAATTCAAATTAAAGAAATTATAAATCCATTTGACCAATAAATATTTAAGTAAAACTTCATAATCCAATTTTTTATTTATTTTTTTTTTTTTTCGAAGACTTGAAAGAATGTTTTTAGTAAGATTTTCGCTCTAGTTTTCTTAGAAAAATAATTCTTTAAACTAAGAAAATACTATTTTAAGATGTACCACCTAAAATGATTATTCCACCTAATGCGTAAAAATTGACATAAATCCGAGTTATTTAAATTTTTACCTACCTAATGTGATGCAGACATATATAAAATGAGATTATTCTTTTATTATAAATCTAAGTACTTGAGTAATTCAATCTTGAACAGATACTACTATGAAAAAAAATATTATCTACAATTTCTAAAATTTTCAACTTCTTCCAATGATTTTTATTAATAAAAATTATGACTAAATTGTACTTAGAGTTGTTTTGATATAATCTAGAACATGTTGATTTCTCAATATCTCCATATGATCAACTCCTGCAAAAGTTTGATGATAAATTTTTTGTTTTTGTTTAGTTTTCCAGTAAAGGCAACCCTCTAAGCTTCTTAAATTAACAGTCCCGTCTCCATCTCCTAAAATCAGCTGTGGATAGCTATCTAATGTTACACCAGGCTTGTAGTATAATCTGCATACCAAGAAAAAAAAATCAATTTTATAAGATTAATAATATTTTAAATTAAAAGGTGAAAAAATCATAAAATGTACCAACATTTCGCAAAATAAACTTTTTTTTCTGTAATTACCTTTCAACTGTACTGACGTTGACTCCATGCAAACAATGCATTTCTACGCCAGGTGCGGCAAAATTAGCTTGAAATTTTTCAGTATCCTTACGAAACTCCCATCCATTTGGCACATTAATATCTCTGAAATAGAAATATATATTAACACAGTATGAAATAACACTAAATCATTTAAAAAAAAATTATTTTCAAAATTAATAATAATTATTACAAAAAAAATTGTTGTAAGTCAAGTAGCGTATAATTTGTCTTTTGTGTTTGCACCAACACTTCAGTATCTTTCCAAAAATATTTAGAAGGAAGTAACCATCCAAGACTTGGACTGGTTATTTGCTGATCTTTTAGAATACTCTCCCGAAGAACATATGCGCCTAAATTATCTCCTACAGCAAAAACTTTTAGTGCTTTTACAGATCCTCCCCACACAGCTCCAAGAGTTATCAATGACTTTATATACTGATCTTTCCATTTTTGAGTTTGGTTTTGAAGAAACAATAAAGTCATGGGTCCACCCATACTGTGAGCAATCAAAGTTATCGGTACTTTATTATTAATTATATATGTTTCCTCTACAAGCTGCTTTAACTTAATAAAAAACTCTCCATTTTCATCTATTTGAAAAATTTTGTTGTAAGTAAAAACATATTTGATAAATATGAATGAAAAATTATCATGAGGTCAGATCAAAATAAAATACTCAACTTACTTGGGGCTTTTCTAAAATCATATGGTGCTCCACGAAGAGATAAATTTCTTACATACCCCAATTGATTTACTAACATATTACCAACATCTTTGAAATAGTTTCCTGGAGATGCTTTACTGGGATCTAAATATTCTACTGAAAATGGATCACCCCATCCTGGTACTCTTACAGATACACCCTTAGTATTAGTTGTAGTTCGAGTATCATTGTGATATATTAATTTCATATTATCAATCTAGACAGAAAAAAAATAAATTCTTGCGTAACCACTAAAATGTTTTATTATTTTATCCATTCAAGACTAAATTAATTCATTTATAAAACTCAAACTCTTCAATAGTAAATTAAAGTTATAACTTTTAATAGCAGTTTTTTTTTTTATTATTTGATGAAATTTTTATTGCATACATTTTTTCACTCTTCATATATTTTTTTTCTTAAAATTTAAGAATAAATTTTTCAAAAATTTCAAATATAATTAAAAAATTTTTTCTGACTAAAAAAAAGTTATTTTTTGTTATATTGTTAATTTAAAAATGTTTCACTATAATAAAACAGTGGATAAAAGCACACAAATAATGCAATCAGCTGTATACTTACGAAGCAATCAATTATTATCGGTACTAGAAGTTCGAGATTTAACCAAATATTAAAATAATCTGAAGATACTTTTTCACATAGGTAATGAGGAACAACAGTTTTGTTGAGTTGCGCTTCAAGTTGACTTCCACCATCTCCAGGAACTATAAAAAAGTATTATTACATTGATTTAAAATTTTCGATATTTTAAAATAAAAAAGTAAATACATAAAACTTACCAAAAATTACTGGTGATCTTTGTGTTGCCATAAGTTTCCAAGGCTTAATTTCATTGATAACATACATAAAAACGATGATAAAAATTAAGATGAACTTCATTGTTGCATTAACTTGATAACTATACTTTTTATTTTAAATATTCATCGGAATTGGATTGAATTTAATTCGATATTCACCATTTTGTATACATGAAAATTGTTTATTAATGATGTATTTCTAAATTTTATGTATATAAATACGAGTGTATATACCCCGATGACTGTCATAATCAGCTGATTTTGTGTCAGTTGTGTCAGATGTCTCCTCCAATGATCCGATGCCCTCATCATGGATTCCCTGCACTCTACTCCGTACCGTCCACAGCTAATAATCAACGCGTGATAAATACTGGTACATGAAGATATATGAGGGTTTAGGTATTGAAAACTATCCTTAAATATAAAAAGTAACAGTAACAACAAACTATGACCGCGCTTTGTATCCAAGCCTCTTATAGAAAAAAAGTACTTCATAATATTTATATAATTCTGAAAGTATATATCATAGACATCTAACAAGTTTTTTTTAGAATTTTTTTAACAAATAAATTATGAAAAATATTTTTAGAAAAACAAATCTGTAAATAGAAATTTTAAAAAAACATGAATGCAATTCTTGAAAAATATTTTCTCCATACTAATTTATTTCTTAGATAAAACCAAAAATTGTTTGGTGTTAGCTGATTTTACTAAAACTTACTTTTTAATTTATTTTGTCTCAATCATTGTTGAAAAAAAAATGTCAAGTTAAGATGAAAACATTAGTTTGTTAAATTGACTAATGGAAAATTCCTAACCTTTAGTTCCTTATTTATTAATTGGCGAAATAAACATTAATTAAAAATTAATAATGAAAAGAAAAAATATTTTTTTCCCTGAAAAGGAAACATCGAAAATAGTATTCTGAATTCGAAAAGCTTGATTGATAAAAACTAAAAGGGTTGTATTATATTTGTAAATTTTTAAAGCGCGCGGAAATAGCGGGAAGTTCAAAGATGGCTTATAGGGTAGTTTTTTAAATTGTATAAATCTTTTTTTGAGTAAAATATATTTTACTTAATTTATCTTGAATTATTAAGCTACTTAAATTATTTTTATTTTTAAATAAGCGTTCGTTAGAATTTTTAAATATAGTTATAACTAATTTCTTCCAATAGCTATTTTCCTAGTTTTTTTTTTACATTGTTTTATAAGTCTTATGAAGTTATTGAAGCAATATTCTGTTGCTACAAATAATTTTTTTGACTAAATGATGACATTCTAATTTAACATTCAGATAAACAAAATATGTTTTATAATTTTTTTTTGTGTACATTTTAACTAATGAATTGGTTTGTGAATGTTAAACTAAGTATTCTCACATTATAAGTATTTATTTGATATATAAAAAACCCCTCCTTCTTAGTAGCCACCTGTTAGGCAGCTGTTCCCTGTACAACACATAGTTGAAATAATAAAACAAATGAAGTTTGTTGTTAGCTGTCATTCTTATGGCATCTAAGTTTAAAACTCAGTTTAGTTGTTCATTTATAAATAAAAACACAACCAAAAAGTAATAATAATGTTGAAATCGAAATCACAAAATAATATTTGGTATGCTACTTACTTGAATTATTTATAATTGTAAGTTAATTTAACACTGTTTATTGTTTTATTGTATAATTTTACTTTTCTAATAGTGAGCAAGAAGCAAGATTTGTACAAGAAAGAATAACAAAAGTAGAAAAACATTTCGCTGATTTATGTACTTCATTCGCAGCATATGCAAGAAAAGCTGCAAGGTGAATTAATCAATTTAATTATGATTAAAAAAAAAAAAAAAAAAAAAAAAAAAAAAACTATGACACAGCAGGATCTAGCTATTCATTCGAAAAATTTTTAGGTTTAATTAAATTTAATTTTCTATCGTAATATTTCAGACTTCGAGATAAAAATGATGAATTAGCAAAAGTGATTCAAAATTATGCTACGTCAGAGACTATCAACCAATCATTAAGCCGTGGATTACATAATTTTGGAGCAACGTTATCGGTGATTGGTGATTATAAGTAAGTTGTTTTCTAATTACTGTGTAAAGAAAAAATAAGTAAATACAATAAATTTTTTAATTTTTGCTCTTAAAAAAATTTACTTTAATCTTTCATTATTAAAATTTTTTAGAGATGCAGAAGTTCAACGTATCGATTCAAAGATAATTTCAACACTGTCTCAGTATTCAATGATATGTAGACATGCTCGTGAAGATGTTAAAAACACTTTTTCAGCTCGAGATAAAGAACTTGCCAGAAGAAAGCACATTGATAAGCTGCTACTGAAAAAACAAGGAAAGTCACAGACAGTAAGTATTTTTTTTTATCAGAATTATTACTGCTTGAATGAAATATTCCTAATGATAACAATCTGAAGAATTGAAGTAGTTTTCATAGAGCTTGTAAAAAAAATATGCGGATTTTATACTAATGCTACCACGATATCTTTATTAATTACTCGTATTAGTCGCAAGCGGATTTGAAATCAATCTCAAATACAGTCCAAGTACTGAAAGTTGTTAAAGGATTAGAAGAACAGATAGATGCGTTTGAGAAACGTAAGCTGCAAGATCTTATAACATTGTTACTAGATTTCGTAATGATAGAGTTAAGTTTTCACACGAAAGCTGTTGAGCTTTTTACAAAAGCTTACCAAGATATTGCCGAAATTGATACATTCAAGGATTTGGAGGTAATTTATTAATATGTATAAATAACATATTTTAACATCTTAGAAATATTAAATTAATATTCATTTTTTTTTAGAAATTTCGAGAAATTCTGAATGCCTCGGAAACATTTTCACGATTTGATACTGTTACGAGAACATCTTTTCGTCAATCGTATTCGCTCACTGACTTATCGAATCACCAAACACCATCACCATTGCAGCTTAAAAAAATGAACCGTGCTAACGAATCAATGGTACGACGATCTGGAAAATAAATAAAATTATTGACGAGTAAAAATTAAATTTATATTGCAGGATTCTTTGAAAGCAGCCGTCATGAAGTCATCCGAGTTATCGCAAGTTAGCGAGTACGATGAAAGTTCTGATACAAGAGACACTGAATCTGTTGAAGATATTGTAAAATAAAAAATATAGTGATACTTGAGTAGTAAATAATTTATTGGTATTTATTGGATAGTATAATTTAATTCGAATTCAATGTCTTGGTACTTTAATTGTTCCATTTTTCTACTGAAATATTACTAATTTAATTAAAAAAAATTGTTTATTTCATATTATTGGAATCAATAAATTAAAAAAAGAAAAAAAATAATTATTTTAATAGAATTAATGATATTCGCCAAAACCAAAACAAAAACTGGTTGTAAAAAGAACATTTGGTGTATTGATTTAAAATTTATTTTTCAATATCATGATATATTATTAATAAATTTGAATACTTCAAATAATTATTACTTTAAGGAAATTATAAAAAAAAAAAAAATAAAGTTCTAAAGATATTTTACGATCACAAATCCATTCGATATTATTGAAGTTGAAAAGTAAGTCGTAAATACTACTAATATATATGATAATAAATATGTTGAAATGAAGATTTGTGCAGGAATGACGTAGTATAAGTATTTATTTGTCAGCACTTTCAACACCGGCCTGCGTCATCAAATCTGCGATGTTCTTTTCAAGATCATCTATTCTATTTCCCATTTCATCTAGTAAGCTTTGTTAAGGAATTACTGAAGTGGACTATAATTGTATAATGAATATATTATAATTTAAAAAATTAAACGATATAAAATATCAATAAAATAAAATAAAATAAAATAAAATAAAAAATAAATGATATTGATATCAGCATACATTTGACTATTTTTTTTTTTTTAAATAAATTACGTCAACTTTCAGACTTTTCTTAGCAATAATTTGTTTATTTAAAAAAGTCCGAAAAATTATCAAATGTCTGTTGATTTGTATAAAACAAAAATAAATTAATGCCTAATTGAATTAATTAGTATAAAAAAAAAAAGGATATTTCTTCCAATAATTTGATCGGACATCGTTTGAAACTTATCTTGCATTCCTTGAAGAAGACTTTGAACCTGAAAAATATGTAAATTATTTGAGTAAAAGTCAACAGAATAACTACTTTTTGTATATAATAAAAAAAATAACTTACGAATTGTGTTAATTCTTGCATATTTTTCGGGTCAACATTAGTAGCCATAGCAAAATTTTCACCACCATCAGATTTATGTTCCTGCTTAATATCCGCCATTATTTAAAATTTTTTTCTTTAAATAGTTATACTTAACAATTTTTGTAATATCACTTTCTGTCTAGCGGAGTAGAGACAACTCCAAGAATCTGTATTTATGATTTATTCAAGCAGTGCATGCGAGATTTTTCAACAGCTTATTTACTGTGTGTATTAACACAAACTTCTAACCTCAAACAAAATGTTTATTCGTTTATTCAAGTATATAACAATTCGTGTGTATGTAAGTAGCGTTGCTTAGTATGTAGTGTAACTAAAAAAAACTCAAACAAAAATATTCAAGATGTTCATGGACATGAAATGTAAAATGTTTTAGTAGAATTGGTGACAGTTCGAGAAAAGCACCAGAAATTGATCTAACAGTGACGGGTTGTACGCAATTGTGTACAGTATAAATACACTCTCATATGCACACACATACACTTGCATGTATAAATACACATGTTATCGCTGGTGTGATCTTTAATAAATACTTAAAAGTTCGGAAAAATAATGTGAAACCAAAAATCTGTAGAGTAGAATGTTTATAAATAAAGAAAATAAGTATAAAAAAAAAAAAATAAAATAAAAGATTATTATGGTTAATAAATATTCGAAATTCAAAAAAACTACAAATTCTAGATAAAAGTTTACTATGTTATTTGCAAAAAGCCATAATCATAAATTTTAATTTGAAGTTTTAATTCCGTTTATAAAATAAATTACTATTAAAAAAATATTCTTTAAAAAATGTATTAATAATTTATATGAATTTCACCAAATAAAAATTAAACAATTTTTTTTTACAACGGTTTATTTGTTAAAAAAAAGGTTCAAGTTTCCATTTTTCGGAGGGATGATTGTTTATCGTATGGAGAAGATTGGCCAACGGTGCTGAGACTATGTTTTTTATGAGATTTTAGGCAACATAGTACTTGAAACTGTTATGAATCAGTTGTTTTTTTTATTTTAGCAAAGTTGAATTAGGTAATACGAAAATTAAAAATTTTATTTGTAAATGATATGAAACAATAAAATATATTACGTAAATTTAGATACTAATTAATATTTTAATTTTACAATTTCTTGTTTAGTTTGTTAATTTAAGCTAAAATAAATTACTCGTTTGAATTCTTTCAGGTTTAATTTGCTGTAGAAATTATTAAATAAAAGTTTATGTATTATTGTTCTTCATAAGAAGAATAACAATTTTTAAAAATCAATCGAAGATTTTGATTTCAAATTAAGTTTTTTCAGAAGACCGTCATCATTTATCATCATTTTGATAACTATTTTTTATTCAAGATTCAAGCAATTTTGATTTAAGTATTGTTATATCCGGCGTTGCCTGATATAATGCAGGGTCTCCTTTTTTAATGGACACCACTTTTAATGGACAATTAACACCTTGATCACGCCTCGAGCTCACTGTGTCCACGTTCGGTCAAATTTGCAATTTTAGACCAATAACTAAATTTAATTCTCTTCCGAAGTTGCGACCCGAGTGTTGAAAAACCACAGAACACTGTTCAGTCTTTTTCTTAATTAAAACACGAGCGAGGGAGGGTATATAATCTCGTGGAACCCGTGTGAGTCCTTACACCGCGTTACGTGCAAGGCAGAGTACAGAACCAGTAGCTTGTACGAATAAATTTATACCCGTATTCGAAATTTTCATCTCATATCTTCTTCGAACTATGTCAGTGTGCCCACAGAGCTGTATCAAGGGCCTCGATGGTCCAAGTGATATATTCCAAAGTCAAATTCTATTTTTCGATTCAGATTGTAATAACGGGGGATTTAAATGTCTGCCGGAGTCGTTACTCCGGTTTCGAACTTGAACTACTAATCTAAAATATAAGTAAATAGTTGATAAGTAAGATATTGTGAATTGAATGAATTTCCCTCCATAGGGCCAATAACTGAATAAATTATAAAAACCCGAATATTGCGGTATTCATCATTTATAAAATAAGTTCCTGAGGCTCTTCCTTGACATCAACTTCAACCACGAGAGGAAAAAGAGAAACAAATCCAATAAGATCTGCCAATTGCCCGACCCAAGTCAACAATAAGGACAATAAAAACGATTGTAAGTTCAGTATTTCAGGTCGACTTCCCTCTCATTTCGTTGGCAGGAAACCCCGGTTACCGGGGAGCGTTCGGAGATCCACATAAAAATAAAACTCTTGTAGCTCTACTGCAAAAGAAAATCTATCTAAAAATTGTCCAAGTCTCCTCCAGGCTCGCTTCACCATTAATTATTTATTAATAATTTAATTCTGACATAACAGTATTGAATTTTATTTTTAGATTAAAAATAATTATAGTACCTTGCGGCCTTGAACCTACACAGAAAGAAAGATTTCTTGACTGGAGAACAAAATTCTTGGCTCAAGTTAAATTTTCGGTCGCCCGAAGGAAGACCGAAGGAAGACCGAAGTTGTCTTGGCCGAAGTAAGATTTTTAGATATTTTAGGGAAGCAGCGCTACCTACTTCAGCTAAGAAAAAAATTTTCTCATCTTGAGAAAATTTTTCTCTTGAATATTTGATACCCATTTTAGATTATTTTAGCGCGCAATTATACATATTGAATGAAAAAAAAATGATTCAATATTATTTGATCTTCCCATTTGACATGTTAGTCAATAGAAATATTAATGAAAATTTACTATCAAGATATTTAATTTTTTGGAGCAAGAGAAAGAATTTCTCAAGACAAGAAAATTTACTTCTGTCAAAAACTTAATTTTTTGGAGCAAGAGAAAAATTTTCTCAAAACAAGAAAATTTTCTTGGCTTAAATAAATTGTCTTGGATCAAGAAACATATTTCTTGAAGCAAGGGAATTGATTTGTTGGAATAAGTGAAATTTCTTGTGTCAAAAAAAAATTTTTTTTTCGCCCAAGTAAATAATTATGAAAAGAAATATTTTCTTGGCTCAAGTGAACCTTTCTTTCTGTGTACGGTGTACAAATTGAGTATACACTGTGGATACACCGAGAATATACCGTGTATTTGTTCCATTTGCACACGGTGGATTCTCGGTGTATCCACGGTGTGTCTACCGTGTATCTACGGTGTATCCACGGTGTATCCTCGGTGTAGCCACCGTGTATCCACTGTATATCCACGCTGTATTTACTCTATACTACCAGGGCAAAAATATTTTTCAGAAATTTAATAAAATATGATATTTAACGTTAAATATCATTTTCAAAATGAATGATGTTCAATAATAATTAATAAAATAATAATAAAAAATTATTTTTTCATTTACGTATCAAAAATTAAACGAAAATTTATTGCTAATTAAACTTTAAATATTACTTATCTAAGTATCTATTTGTGAAATTTATTTAACAATTAATAAGAATTATTCATAAACAAATTTCTGGAAAAAGCTATTTTTCAAAATAAAAATTCAGTTAATATGTTAAAATTATTTAACTAAAACTTGTTTAAATGTTAGTAATTTATTACAATTAAAGAAGTCAATCTGATTTTTTTTTTTTTTTTTTTTTCATTTGTAAATATAATTCGAAAACAACAAAGTTTTATCCAAAATCAAATTTGTATTTTCGCACATAGTGCAAGTAATCACGTTTCTTGTTAGAAATATTTAAAATTTAATTGAAGAAAAATGTAAAAATTTATTCCACATGAAAATGAATTTGGAAGTTATTGATGTTAAAATTCATAATAGATTTATTAATTGAATGATTTCACTCCTTCAATAATCGAGAATTTTTGAAATTTCCTGGTGATCACAATCTAAATAGACAGTTTTCTCTAAGTTTTTTCTTTCTAAAAACGACAATTTGAAATTATTAAGTCGTGACCTGACATCTTACAGAACTGAGAAAATTAAAATACATTTTCTCACAATCGGTATTGAAAATCACTGCACAATTAACGAAAGGTTCCATAGTTATCATCTTAAGTAATCAAAATTATGGCAGTATTCTCATCAAAAAATATTGACCTGCGACAATAAAAGGAAATTTTAAAAACCCGGAAGACTTTATGATTTTTTCAGAGGTTAAAAATTTCACGAGATTATGACAGTGATAAAAATTAATAAGACCGGTGTGACTGATATTAAAATTAATTTAGTTTTTGTATTTGAATATTTACATACTGTAACATAATGACTATTTTAAAGATATTTGGAAAAAGGCTGTATGGGAAACAATTTCCACGACTGTCATCGAGTACTTTGGTAATAATATTTGATCATGAATTATTTAGGTTAATTTAATAATTGTTCAACTAGTTTTATCTTTTTAAATTTGTTCAAAGACATTTGTATTAAATTATATATCCTCATATTTTGAATAATTGATTATTATTACATTCTTACAGTTATTTTGTGTAATATGTCAATTGATGTAAATTTATACTTTTACAGAATCATGCTCGTTTTCTGGCATCTCATGAGAAGTTTGCGGAGATTAGAAGTTTGGATAAGATCCGTAATATTGGAATTTCAGCTCACATAGATTCAGGAAAAACAACGTTAACAGAACGGATCTTATTTTATACTGGCAGAATTGCAGAAATGCATGAGGTATATCATCAATTTATTTCAATTCATATATTACGTGATTTATATCATTTTACGATACTGAAATTAACAGACATCTAACAATTTAAAAAATTTTTTTCAACAAAAAAATTATTGTAAAGTATTTTTTCAGAAATAATTTCATATGAAGAAATTTTAAAAAATTATGAATGTAATTTTTTCTTAGTATTAAGTTATTTATTCAATAATACCAAAGACTTGTTAGATGTCTGATAATTTATGATACTAAAATTAGCAGACATTTGATCATTTTTTGGTTTTATTTAACAAATAAATTATTACTAAAAAAATTTATAGCTTGGTAAGTTTCAATTTCGTAAATTTTTTTCATAATACTCGAATAAAACCTTCTGAAAAGTCATTAACGTAATGAAATAATTTTGTACAGGTAAGAGGTAAAGATAATGTAGGAGCTGTAATGGACAGTATGGAGTTGGAGAGGCAAAGAGGCATAACTATTCAATCGGCTGCTACTTACACGATTTGGAAAAATCATAATATTAATATTATTGATACGCCTGGTCACGTTGACTTTACAGTTGAAGTTGAACGAGCGTTAAGAGTTTTGGATGGTGCAGTTTTAGTTTTATGTGCTGTTGGTGGTGTTCAGTCACAAACACTTACTGTCAACCGACAAATGAAGCGTTATAGTGTACCATGTTTAGCATTTATTAATAAACTTGATCGCATGGGAGCAAATCCAAAAAAAATTTTAGATCAGATGCGCAAGAAAATGAATCATAATGCGGCTTTTATTCAACTTCCTATTGGTTTAGAATCAGAGTCAAAGGGAATAGTTGATTTAATTACACAAAAAGCGATTTACTTTGACGGAAATTTTGGAGAAATGTTGAGAGAAGATGAAATTCCTAAAAACATGCAAGCTGGTAAATGCGATGTTTATATCTAATTAGTTTGTATTCTTGAACTTGATTATGGTTTTCTTTAAAATTTGATTTATTTTTACATTAAAGAGGCCCATGACAGACGTCAAGAACTCATTGAACATGTTAGCAATGTTGATGAGAAGTTGGGTGAATTATTTTTAAATGAAAGCTCAATAACAGAAGATGATATAAAGAGTGCAATCAGACGATGTTGCTTAAAAAGGAGCTTTACTCCTGTATTAGTTGGTACTGCTTTGAGAAATAAAGGTGTTCAACCATTATTAGATGCTGTCATAGATTACTTACCGCATCCAGGAGAAGTTGTTAATTATGCATTAAAACCAACTGAAGGACAGTAAGTATTTAACAGTGGAACAAGTAATTATTATTTGTTTAATTCCAGTTCTCACTTGTTTAATATTAAAGATTTTCTAAGGCAACCACGTTCTCATTTTTTTAAGATTAAAAATTCTAGCTGAAAAATTAATAATTAACTATAAATGCACTACCAAAAAAATTTATAAAATAAATTCATAATTAGTACGACATTTGTTTATCAAAATACGATTGACAAATATTATTTATAAATAACCATTAATTTTTTATGTCGTTTATTAAGTTGTCATTTTTGAGATATGAAGTTGCGTTAGAAAACCTTTGGTATGCGTAATGTTTATTTTATGAATTAAGGATTGAAATTAATAAGATCTAAGTGTTAAAAGATTTTTCTAATTAATCCAAAAATTCTTTTTATTATTTATATCTTTTTTGGTCTAATCTTGATAGTTATTATGCTTGTATATCAATTTTCACCATTGAATTTAAAAATTATTATTTTACGTTCTATAATTGTTCTAGATCTGAACCTACAAAAGTTGTCCTCGACTCCGTTCGTAATGGAAATAAACCATTTGTAGGATTAGCCTTTAAATTGGAACTTGGTAAATTCGGACAATTAACGTACTTCCGTTGTTATCAAGGAATGTTACAGAAAGGTGAAAGTATTTACAACACTCGCAATCATAAAAAGGTAATAATTTTATTAATTTAAGTATTAATTGAAATTATGAACAATATTTTGGAATATTTTAATAATATTTATTACTAATAAACAGGTCAGGATATCTCGATTAGTACGTTTACATTCAAGTCAAATGGAGGATGTTGATTCAGTATATGCTGGAGATATTTTTGCGCTATTTGGCATTGACTGTGCATCTGGTGACACATTTACAAATCAAGCAAAATTAGAAATATCAATGGAATCAATGCACGTTCCGGACCCTGTTATTTCGATGTCCATTTCACCTAAGAATCCAAAGGATCGTGATAATTTTGCAAAAGGGATAGCACGATTTACTAAAGAAGATCCAACATTCCGTTTCTTTTGGGATCCAGATAATAAAGTATCTTTTTTTGTTACATTTAGTTGATAAAATAACCTCGCATGCAGCAATAAAAACATTATTTTGATTTCCGTAGGAAAGTATAGTTTCGGGTATGGGAGAATTACATTTAGAAATTTATGCCCAGCGCTTGGAACGTGAATATAATTGTCCGATTACTCTTGGCAAACCAAAAGTTTCTTTCCGAGAAACGATTGTATCGCCATGTGAATATGATTATCTTCATAAGAGGCAATCTGGAGGAGCGGGACAATACGGAAGAGTTATTGGAGTAGTTGAAGTATGATAACTAATTTTATCTTGTACATATATCAACGAACTATTTTTTATTGTTTTAAATTATTTTCAGCCGTTACCTCCTGATCAAAACACTCAAATTGTGTTTCAAGATGCAACCGTTGGTACAAATGTTCCAAAACAATTTGTTCCTGGAATTGAAAAGGGATTCAGATTGATGTGTGAGAAAGGTTCACTAACAGGACATAAAGTTGCTGGCATTAAAATTATACTGAAAGACGGTGCTCATCATATAGTTGATTCTTCGGAGTACGCTTTCCAATTAGCAGGTCAAGGTGCGATTCGACAAGTTTTTGAAAATGGCGTTTGGCAACTTTTGGAACCCATTATGGCTGTTGAAATTACGATACCGAATGAATTTCAAGTAAGCTCTAAAACTATGGTTGTAACATTTTTATTTAGTACAATTATAATAATTAAAATTTTATTTTTCACAAAAAGGGCGTAATTATGGGTCAAATAAGTAAACGTAAGGGTGTGATTACTGGAACAGAGGGCAGTGAAGGGTGGGCAACTATTTACGCCGAAGTACCTCTCAATGAAATGTTCGGCTATTCTGGAGAGCTTAGATCTTCAACTCAGGGTAAAGGTGAATTTACGATGGAGTACAGTCGCTACAGTCCATGTTTACCTGAAATTCAAGATAAATTAATACGTGAGTATCAAGAATCATTGTCACCGAACCAGCAGCAACAAAAGAAGAAAAATTAGTTTAAATTAAATTCAAGGGACCATTTTTATATTACGTACAACATTTTAAGACTATTTCACCTTATTTTACCCATGCGTAAAGTATAATAAAATTTTTCTTTCCTTAAGTAATACGTTTACACATCAAAAATTAAAACAAAGCATTTTATTATGTTGAAAGTATAATTTCAGATCAATGAAAGTCTACCTACTTCTAAATGTTTTATGTAATTGATGAATGGTCATATCATTTAGCAATCTTAATTGTAAGTATTAATTGACTGTAAATTATTGAAAAGATCATCGTAACTGTTGTGTCATTTTGATAAACAATATGTATTTTTAATATTAGTCATAAACTATAGAAAGTTTTTCATTGTTGATATTATTCATTGTATGTACATTTTTGAAATCAATAGAGATATAAAAAAATTGGATATTTATCACAGTTTTTTAATTGTTTTTATGAATGATTATTCTTGACAAAAGGACATATTAAAAAAACAGAATTTAGAACTACTTACATTACTAAAGATAAAAAAAAATTGGGTAATTATTTGGAAGTAGGGTTTACCTTATTTTTGGCAAAAATAGATATTTTCGAATATTTTTTTTTAATTACGCTCTTTTACGCCGCATTTATGGTACCAGTTATTGAAATCGTCAACAATACATTTTTTAATTAATTTTGTATTAATATTAACAAAAAAGTGTATGTTGCGCGAAAATCGTAAACAAAATTTGTTTTTATCCGTCTACTAATTTTTTGTTTTAGTTTTTTCCGTGTAAAAACGATTAAAAAATGTCAATTTTCTGTTATTTTTTCAAAAAAATTATAAGTATCTTTGTTAAATTTAAAAAGAAAATCATGTGATCGTTAAAAAATAATTTTAACCATAATTTTTATGGATCGTTGTAGTCTTTACTTCCAAACAACTACTAGAATGCAATTTTTATCTGAATCATTTAGTATTTTTTAAAAAATTTATTAATCGTTTAGCTGTTCAACATAAATTTAATCATTTTTGTTTTCATCGTTATATTGATTTATTGAAAAGTTCATTTCAGATACTCTTTTTAACTTTCGATTCAGCTCTTCTAAATCTTTGTCAAGACAGAATAACTGAGGATCAGATTGCATCGGTTGGTTTGGTTTAATTGTTAAATATCTCAAAGCATTTATATCATTGATTTGGATTTTTGGGTTCGTAATTAAACAATTAATAATGTATCTCATCATACGTATACAAAATCCAATAGGTGGTGTTTTACCCAGTGCTTTTATGTAATATTGATTCATAAGAAACAAAAATGTTCGTGGTAGCACATCAAAAAGTTTTTCTATTATACCCATGCTGTAAAGTTTAATTTTATTTTTGAAAACTTCGACAAGTTCATTTATTAATTCCATCAGCTCATCAAAGTAAACGACTTGCCATCCGTTGGAGTATTTACCTTCGATAGATATCAATGGTTCTCGAGAGTGTAGTTGAACTAAATTTTCATTTGTGATCGCACATATATCTGGTTCATGCAACCCAGAATAGTAGCCCAGTAATATACCATAAATTATTTCATTTTCATTTTTATTGGAACTACACCATTTAAGCATATTAATAATATCGGAATATGTAGGCACAGATGATGGTGAACCGAGCTGAAGAGGACTTATATATTCTTCGAGATTTAATAATTTTATACTCAGAAATGAATAATTTTGTAGAATTTTTAAATATTTTATTATTGTGTAACGACGTAAGGAACGATCTAACAGCTCTCTTACTAGTAATTTTGTGCGATGTTCAGGGTCACTAATCTCATGTAATCGGAGCTTATATATAACTTGCAAAATTTTTGTCGGTATGGAAATCTTCTTTGAATACGAGATCCATGGTTTTTTATGGAGCTTCAAAACATAATTATGTATTTGTGAGCCGATAAATTGTGAAGATTCATTATTTAGTTCAACTTCAGGAATTTTCACGTTATTAAAAGCCATTGCTATGAACAGTAAATTGGAAATACATAAACTTCTTTTATTAAATCACAAGTTAACAATAATGACATAGGTCACAATTCTAATATAAACACATCAAATTAACTCGTAAGGATAAATATATAGTATGCAAGACTAAATGCTGCATTAAGAGTTTTATGTGCGTTAAATATAACGAGTAAAGACATTATTAGCAAAAAATATGTTTTCCATTTGAAAGCCTTGTGTTAATAGTAGTTATGAGATAATTAATTGTAAGTAGTAAAATTGATGCCTAAAGTGAAAAAGGAAATAGCATAACCACATACAGCGAATAAATTAATTAATGCAATGAAATTATTGTTGTAGATTTTATTGAATCATGATAAATGTGGAAAATTCCGCGCCAAATCAGACAGTTTAAGAAATTTTAATTTCGCACGACTCATGATGCGAAGTAGAGAGTGCTTAACGATCGAAAAGTTTGTTTTGCCTCGGTTTTGCAACTATTTAATTAATTATACGATTGGTAATCCACGTAGTCTAATTAATTTGCGCATCATTCGATTAGATAATTTAATGGAGATTAATTATGTCATTGGTAAAAATCAATTATGATTAAATTAATTTAAAATAATAGAACCAGAAAAAAATATCAAAATAGTTAAGGAGGTTCGAGCGAATCTAATGTGATAAATAATTTCCATGTTATTGCCATTATATAGCTAAATTTCAGTTTTTTTTTTTTTTTAAGATATGAAAATTTTAAACAAACAATTTCATTGATATCATTATTAAAAAAGTTATTAGAAGAAAACCGAAAAAAGCAATTTTTTTTTTCTTTGTAATATTATTTCTTTTGAAAAAGTAATCAAGAAAATCTCAAAAGTTTTTAGAAATAATTTTTTAATTGGTTTTAAAAATGTCAAAAAATTGGAGAAATAAAAAATTCAAATTTTTGAAATTGTCTGATTTGGCATGGAATGTCTCATATTTCGGACATTAGTCTTATATTTATTTTAATTCTTACAATGGTATTAAAGAAAAAAAGTGTCGACCCTTGTGGAAATATTTCTCGTTTAAAAGTAAGAAAAAAGTTTAGTAAGGTAAGAGCCCCAGTAGCTGCTCAGAAAACAGTACCTGCTCACTCCACGCATCTGTATATCTGCATTTGTGAATATAGATATACAAATACATGGAGTGAGCAGATACTGGTTCTTGAGCAAATACTGGGGCTTTTACCTTAAGTAGAAAAAAAAATTCTGAAATTCTTTTTTTCTCTGAAAATTTCTGAAAAAGTCTTTTTAAATCTTAACAATTTTTTACTTGATTTAACAAGTCGGAATATTTGCAAGATTTCGGAATCTGTGAGACGAAGTATTCTTAGTTAATAAAACTTTTTGAAGAGAAATATTGCGGCTACAAAAAGAGTTATTTTGAGTTTATCTTTGTTTTTAATACTTTATGCAGAAAATCTGTGCGGCTGTTGAAAAAATTGTTCAGAGATTTTTTAAATAATTAAGAATTTCAACAGAAAATTAGTGCGGCTGTAAAAGTTTTATTCAGAGTTTTTTAGAATTATTGATATTTTTCTGTAGAAGATTATGATTATTGTTGAAAAATCAATTTAAGATTTTTTTTCAATTACACCAGCACACAACAAAAAAAGTTATCTGTACTTTGGACCGGACCCACCTACGGACATGTATTTTGACTCACTGAATTCGAATTTGAAGTCCGTTTGGCCCAGTCACTCTCCATTTTAGAGTAAAATGCAAAAAACCCAAAGAAAAGACAAAAAATTGCGAAAAACTACATCAGTCACAGCGATGAAAAAATTTTTGTGGCCCCGGATCAAGTATGATTTTTATGTATTTCAATTTACTGAATCTGAATCTGAACGTTAATTAGCCCGTTGAGCCGTCAAAATTTGAAAAAATCGAAATTATCGAGGTGAAAAAATTTTCATGGATTCAGATTGAGTATGATTTTTAAGTATTTGGTTTGACTAAATTTAAATCTGAAATTTTTTTGTTCTTTTAATGTTTAAAAATAATTATAAATAAATAAATTAATAATAATTATAAACGATAAATTTTTACTAATAAATGAATAGCCAATTTTTTTGTCCGGTTATACTCCGAAAACTACTGAACCGATCGGAATATAATACTTATACCATAAAATACAGTGTGTTTCGGAGAAGGTTTTAGTATATAATATGTTGTGGATTACTTATCCAAAAGCTATCATTTTTTTGTTTTAAAAAATAATAAATTTTATTGATAAATTCATTTCAGTCAATTGATTTGTTATAATTATAATTCTGATATTTGCTCAATTAATCGACAACTGTCAACCTTAAAAAATAATTTATTTATTATTAAAATTAAAATAAATTGTGAAAAATTCATTTAAGGGATATTATAACTGTTTGCCATCGGTACATTAGGGGTAATAATCAATTATATGAGTAAGTAATAATTGTTTTTAATGTTAAAAGTTGAGATGATATAAGTTGCAATCAATTTTTTAATCAAAAAGTTATGACTTATTCATGTAATTGATAAAATTTTCTGGACAGGATCGAAGGATTTATAGTGAAGACATACGGATTCAAAGCTTTTTAATGGCGTAGAATACTTTGTCTTCACACTCTCTGAATTCAGAGTGGATTCTTATAAGAAATAAACATAACCAATAGAATTGAAAAATTTTTTTTAAACAAATGACAATCGAATAGAATAAATTTAGTTACAATAAAAATTCATTATTTCTCAGTCAAAAAAATATAGGCTCCGGATAAGTAATCACCAAAATATCATATACTAAAATCTTCCCTAAAACATGCTGTATCTGTCTAATGACGGGAAATTTTTTAGATAGTCCAGACGAGACACTTAATGCGTTTTCTCATTATTAGTGTCTGCTGTATGTTTTACTTTCTTAAAAAAATATATTTTAAAATTTATAAAAATTCGTATTATTTTAAAAGACAAAAATAACAAACGTTAATTTAACCACGACGTAACACTATATTAAAATTTTAAATTAAAGAGAACTTGAAATTTAAGCAGAACGACAGTAACGATATTTCTTTTATATAAATAATTTATGTGATAGACAAAATTGATGTTATTAAATATTTTAACGAATGATATTATTTAGATTTATAAAAAGAAAAAAAAATTAATTAATTTTTGTCTTATGACTTAAAATAATTAAAAATATATTACAAAATTCAGATATTTAAAATGAGGTTTAACAAATATTTGAACGATGGGAAATAATTTTACGAACGATAATAATCCTAACGAGATAAACAATTACGAATGTACTTAGACGCATTGTAATTGTACTGTATAATTGCAGTTCTTTACAAATGCTAAGTCTATCGGTAAACATCTGTATTTAGCGTGCCTCAATATCTTAATCCTACAATTTCTGGTACCCCAAAGGAACATTTTAGGTCATAAATTATTTTAAAAATAAAATTTTAAAGAATAAAAGATGTGTTTATACAAGGAGTTTCTTTGACTCGTGATTACTACCCTTAGAGGAAAGAACAATCGGCCCGAGCTTGGCCAAGGCTTGGCGCAATGCTCATTAACTCTGGGGCAAGCTTGAAATCCAAGCTTGGCCCAAGTCCGTCTAAGCATACAAATGATAACTTCCTGCCAAGACTGAATATCAGTACTGTGCCAAGACTGAAAATAAGTATTGTGCCAAGACTGAAAATAAGCATTGTGCCGAGACTGAATTTTAGTATTGGGTCAATACCGATTTTCGAGTCTGACCCATGCTTGGTTACCAGGACTGGGCCACAGTTACTATTCAAGTCTGGCCCATGCCATTTGATAAAAAGTGATAAAAAGCAATTTTTTATTTGTAACTTTTTTTTATTTTAATTTCTATGCAAGGCTAACGCAAGTTTAGTCCCTTTGACTCTTTATTTAGACCTAACTTTTATTAATTATGAAAATAAAGTGAAAATTGCATTTGCCTTAACCGAGATTCGAACCCAAACCGCGCGCTTACTAGACCGATAACTAACCCCTACGCCGTACGACCGATAAGTTGATCTAGATCTCATCATTCATATAAGCTAACTCTATATGCTGACAGAGTGTGACGGATTATTATTTTTACAATTTATGTAATTTAATATTGTGTTTTGATGAAAATAAACGATTTTTTACAAATTTTTATTAATTTAAAAAAAAGGTTAAGAAAACCAGCTTTTTTAAATCAAAAAAATTCGAGTAAAAAATTTAATATTCTAGGTGGAAAAAAATTGTTTTTTTAGTGCATAGACACTATAGTTAAGCAGAAACGGATTTCAAATTTTTTTTAAGTATATACTACATAGAAAAAAACAAAACAATAAAATGACAGAAAAACTGTAAAATTTACAGTTTTAACAATGTCAATAGTGGCTGGGTCTTGGTTCAACACTGGCAAACCAAGACATCAGTTGAATATTGGCTGGGCCTTGGGCCAAGGATATAATAAACCAACACAGAAAAAACAATTAATAAGAATCAAGTAAATAATTTTGAAAAATTTCTTCTCCTTGATTTAAGTAAAAAAATTCTTAAACCAAGAAATTTTTCTTGGTTTAAATAGTTTCAACTTGATTAAAGAATTTTTCGTCTTGATTTAAAACAATAAAACTTTTCAACATTATTTTCTTTTGGTTCAAGAATTTTTCACTTGATTCAAGTTAATTTTTAACTTCCCGCTAAGAAAATTGAAAATTTTCAAAAATCGGAAATAAGTTATTGGTTTTACCCCGTTTTTCGAAAATCGAGTTTTCATCAGATCTCGACGTTTTGAGGTCCTAGGAAGCTTCCCTGACTATTCCCGCGAGGGTGTCACTATGTATGTGTGTGTGTGTGTTTTTTTTTTCCCATTAGGGTGGGTGGGATCCTTTTTACGGATTCTAGGCGTAGTTGTTTGGCCTGGATATGTGGCGACTTGACGCAGCGTCATACTAAAACTCGACGGTAGCGCCCCTACCCACT